GGATGTCTGTGTCTGAGGGGGAGGTTCGCCCAGTTGTTCCTCTCCACCTGCAGAGCACGAGCACAGCCTCCGGTGCTGGGGAGCACAGGCCTGGGTGGGATTAGCCTCTGGTGCCTTTAGGTGATGGGTGACTCACCGGCAGCCCTCCGGTGGTCGCACTTTGCTCTCTTATGAGAAATACTGTTCCGTCCAGATTCTGTTCCAGGCCTGGATCGGCTGGCCCTACTTGAATTCTTTGGGTTCAGGAAATACATGTAGAAGTTAAACCCAGGAATGGAGAGTCCAGTGGTTTGCAAACTAGTAGAGACGTTCCATCAATACCTAACACAAGGATGGGCAGGCAAAAGGAGCACGACCCCACCCCCGTTCCCTTCAGACCAGAGCAGCTTTATTTGTTTATTTGTTTTAATATTTTTATTGATTTCAGAGAGGACGGGAGAGGGAGAGAGAGAGAGAGAAACATCAAAGATGAAAGAGAATCATTGATCAGCTGCCTCCTGCACACCCCACAGTGGGGATTAAGGCCACAACCCGCGCTTGTGCCCTGACTAGGAATCAAACCATGACCTCCTGTTTCATAAGACCAGAGCAGCTTTAATTTCACATGGTACAGCCAACCACCTGCTCACTTTTTCATGGTGCTACATTTACCCAGGCCTACTATGTTCTGCACTGTCCTAAGCCCTTTCTGTGGATCAACCCTGCACCCTCACACCAGCCCTGCAAGGTAGGTTAGTGCTGTTCCTGTCCAGCAGGAGAACTGACGACAGAGCCAGGACTCAAACCCAGGCAGCCCGAGTCCTGGGCTCCACTGAGCTATATGTGCTCTGTTGCTTCCTGGTGACTTGCCTGTTCAAGGATTCAGAATGTCCAAAGAAAACCCCACACTGCCTGCTGGTGCCCTGGGTGTTAAATTTTGAACATAAATAATCTAGAGAGGGATTCTAAAGGCCAGGGGCTTTTCTGGGTCCCCTGACCACTGTTCTGGTATTTATCTCCAGGGTCTTGGCACCAGCAGCACCTACTTATCTCTGGATTGGTGGGCCCCAACCTGGCCCACCCTGTTCCTATCAGCGCCTGGGGCAGCCACTGCCTCACAATAGCCCCCAGTCCTAGTATAATCTCCCACCGCTCGACTGCTCCAAGACCTCCTCCTTCCTAAGCAGATCTAATCCTATTACCTCCTGTGATCCACCTGACAGTCTTAACTCCTTAGCCTGGCATTGGACCCCAACCTGACATTCGCCTACTGGTTCGTTTTGGTTTGCCGATCCCCATGTGGGCCCTGGCTGCTCTCCTTGGGCCTCACACAGATGATTCCCCTGCCTTGAATACTCATCTCTTTCATCCACTGCTCCCAGACCTTTGTCCTCCTGGAAAACTCCTGCAAAAATAATCTCTTAATGCCTTCCCTGAGCACACCTGATAGTTATTCACACCTCTCTCAGTGGCACCATTTCATTTTGAACTTAGTTTTGCTGTAGCATTTGTCACTGTATTGTAACTTTATATATATCATGCATTCTTCACACACACACACACCCACACCCCCCCACACCCCCCCTGTGAGACAGCGATCTCCTTGGAAATAGGAACCGTGTCTCTAAGTGGCTGTTCCAGGCACAGTCCTGAACCATAGTCAGTAAATACTGCTGAATTTTAAAAGAATAAATGCAAATTTTATTGTTCGGTCCTTACCTACCAATTACAGTCATGGACTGTTTGCTTCGTCAAAGACCTTTCTTAGGAAGTGCGGGCACCTAGCAATCTTAGGAAGTGCCCTCTTCCGGCTGAGTGTCACCTACGTATTGCTGAACTTGCCTGTTAGCTGAGAATTCTAAGATAAGCATAGGTCCTCTTTCCTAACCTGAATGACAGATTCTATATCTGAGTAGGTGCTTAGCTGTAATACTGGATTTAGGTAAAGTCAGGCAGAAGAGGGCAGTGGGATTTAT